CCTGAAGAAGGGTAATACCCGAAATGTTGACTTCTCCTTTCCTCCAGATGCTGCCTGGCCTGCTGTGTTCATCTAGCTTCTTGTTTGTATTTCAGCCACTGACTTGAGGGGTAAGCGACCTTCAGTAAACCATCGCACCAACAGCACATAATATCTTCAGGTCTCCAATGTTTGACATTTGCAATGAAGTCTTTTGTTCTTATCTCTTGAGCAATCTTTCATCAAAATAGAAAAGTAAGCAAACTTCAGTACAATCTGCTCCCCGTTGCACATTTATAAGCAGGTCACGCCATATTTAATTGCTGTTTTACTTTTGAAAGCACAGCCAAGCAACAAAAACCATTTCTGCCACCAGTAAGGCAATTTGTTCATTTATTGTAATTACACGCCTGGTTTGGAAACATGTCCAGATAGATCCTCATCAATGTGGGGCTATGCAACATTTAAACATCTGAAGTTGTTTTCCTCAATTTAGAAAGGATGCATGCAAAACAGTGCTCCTGACCTAGTAACCACTCTTCCCATATTTTCAACTCTCCTTCTGAAGCTACAGCATACTGTACAATGTGGTCCCAGGTTTGATTGCTGGTTTGTATTGGACGCAACTGGTTTCAGGTGGAAATCGGAAGACCTCAAGAATTTTTAAACCAACTTAGTCTCTCAATTCTCATTCATTAGGAAGACAATACGGTTAGTCCTGATCAACAGTGACCAGCAACATAAACAAATATTCAGCTAAACAATTTCCCAAGGCCCTTAACAAGCACAAACATCACGGAGTTACAGGAGAAAAATCAAGACACACAATCAAAAACTTATTCAAAGGTGTGAATTTGAAAAAACAACTATCATTCTGAAATACTAGATGATAGAGATGACAAATTTGATACATTTACCACAAATGGAAGCTGGGGGCTACTGAACAATGAAGCACATGTTCCCTGTGTCGTTACATCTCACAGTTATGGACTTAGCCTTAAAATTCTCCCAAACCAAGTCACAGTCTCAGGAATGGATAATGAAGAAACATTCAAATCAACACCCACAAGCAACAAAAATTTATAGTTTGCCAAGAATGGCTTAAGAGTGGGAGTGAGATTGGTTTGCAGATTTCAAGAAATGGTTTAATAATTCTTCAGACTCTATTGACCCAGAACTGAACATGTCTAAAATCACTCAGGTTCCTTATGGTGGTTAAAGATTTACTCTCCCTTTACTCCCAATATTAAAAAAAAACTTGCTTTGCTAACCTCCAAAAGTTGGAGTTGGAACGTAATTGCGAGACAATAAGTGCTGAGGTGACAAATTCAATACAGGGCCTAAAGCTCAAAGTTCCACTTTTTAATACAAAAATAAAGAGTATTATTGTTCCAGAATCTGCATCAGGAGTTTGAACTATTTTGCAGCTGCAAAACAACCTCCACTTCTTCTGGGAAGGGGTGACTTTGGAATCTAAAAGAAAAACCAACTACAGCGGGTTCTTCTCAAATACAGACACCCGAGAAATGGTGGGTAGGTTTAGATTTGAAATATTTATTTTTAACGAACAGAAGAACATCCAATAATGGGTCTGACTTTTGATGGTGATCAAAATTATTTTTTTTTATTATTTTACTGAGCTCATTATGACGTAATATCATCTTGAATGCATTTAAACAACCAACAGTTTCCAAAATAAGAAAATTGAGACAGTTGTCGGGGGAGGGGGTGTTGATTTCTAATTAAGACCACACAGTAATGATATTCCATAACCTTCACAGTCATTTCCAAACATCTCTCTCTCTCTCTCTCGCGCACACACACACACACATACATACACACACACACTTAGGAATCCAGGAAAAACTCTTGCATGAGCAAACTTAAAGACAGGATTGTGAGGGGAGAAGGTTAATTCGTCCTTTCCAGTTGCACACCCTTGTATGATGCAGGAACTCACTATTAAACCCCAACAATGAAACAGTACTTACAAAAAGGAAAACATTCCCTGTATTGCATCATATTTTAAAGGGACTGGATGACAAATTGACATGCAGATCATAAAAGAACAACTTCCTATCAAACAGAAAATGTGGATGAAATAGGCACAGCATTAAAAGCAGAGCACCAGCTACTGAAGTAAATCCACACATTATAAAAAGCCTGGGATTATCCCCTTGCTAAGTAAGCTGAGGGCAGAAAGTGTCCACTTTCAGTTCTTTACGCAAAATCAAGCTGATGAGGCATTCACACAAAGCTCAGTCTCCAGCTGACCTGATATATTCGCCCTTACAGAATCCAACAAAAGAGTAATGACAGCAATCCTCAGACCTACTGGACTGGCAGGAGGTGGCTACAGTGACAGAAACAATAGTGTTCGAGACAGAGACCAGTAGAGAAACAGAAATAGACGATGCAAAAAATAAAAACTCAGCTGTGTTATAAACAGAATGTAATAGAGATATAGAAAAAGAGCATATGGCGAACATCTAGGAGACAACATAACAGAAACATATAGATGATATATAATAGTTATAGCCAGACAGATAATATATGTAAGGCCAATTTCTGGGAGATATTATAGATGGTATCTAAGTTATAGATAGCATACAATAGTTATAGGCAAAGTGTATAATATAGATAGACGGTATATATGTCACAGACAGTATAGAAGAGGTATAGACAGATGGCATACAATACCTATAAACGGTATACTACAGAAGTTACAGACGGTATATCTCTCACATATAGGCCCACACTGTGTGGGCCAGGCCCTCTGTGATGAGGTGATTACCCTCTCTCTCCCTGTACCTTAGTGTGGACCCGCTTGCATTGCTGGCAGGTCGGACAGTCCGCTGCCACAGGCTCCAGGCGGCCCGAGGGAACGGAGGCAGCAGCGGCGGACACTCGCATCCCGCACGGAGCCGGCGGTGAAGCTGAGGGTTGGTGGTGTGGGGGGGGGGGGGGGGGGGAGGGTGAAGAGCCGGAGAACCGGGGGCTGCTCCGTTCACGGTCGGAGACGCGGAGAGTCCGCGAGGTCCCCGCCCCCCGCCGCTTATATAGACAGAGGCCCCGCCCCCCCCCCCCCCAGGTCCCGCCCCCTCCCCGAGCCTTATATAGACAGAGGCTCCGCCCATGGCTCTCAACCCCACCCCTCCCTGATGTCCGTGCCCATCCATCGACGCCCCGCCCCCAGCGCCTTATACAGACAGGGGCTCCGCCCCTAACACCAGCGACACGCCCCCACAGTTCCGCCCAGCGCACCAAGCCCCGCCCACACGGACTCGGGCCCCGCCCATTGAGCCTTATATAGAATGAGTCCCCGCCCCCTCTTTTACATAAATAGTGTCATTTACACGTGAAAAAGTTACACCTTTCGGTCCCTTTTCAACCTTTCCCCTCTCATCTTAAACCTTGTAGGTTTGGACTCGCCTACCCTGGGGGGAAAAGCGGAACACAGTGAACAATATAGAATACAATTCCCGTCCTAGCACACTTTGCATCTATCCTCCTTTCCCCAAAGCCCTTTGCAGAAATTGTTGGGGAAAAAAGTTAAAAGAAAAAATGCGCCCAAACTTCCTCCGGAGAAGGTTTCTTTTTTGTGCAGACAGAGTTTATGGAACTCCGGGTCATGTTCAAACTTATAAAACCCTCGAGATGGAGAGTGTCCCAGCCCTTCCAGCTCCTCATTACTTCCTGAAGGAAAGTTTCTCCTCCAGCTTCATGGGAGAAGTGCCTGAGCTGAAGCCATCCTGTTTTTAAGTTGTTTATACACTCAGTTCCCACAGCCCATTAAAAAAAAATCCTTTGTGTCAGCTTCTGCCCGCAAACCTCCACCGTGCTACTGAATACAGCCCTACCAACTTTAAATACAACTCTATTTCAGCCCACAAACACATTTGAAGTGAAATCGGAAAAGCAAACTTTCGTTCCAATCCTAGCTACAATATTAGAACACAATGTGCTTTTATATCTGGAATTTGAGGAGGAAAAGGAATTTTTAACATTTGTAAATTGAGGCCAAAAGGGGCGGAAAGCGTTAAACTTTGGTCCAAGTAACAGACCAGTTCCTGGAACTAATTCGATCAGGGCATTTCCAGTTGTGCCAATGGGAGTTTGCTGCAGATTGAGCCAGAGTTACATTGAAGTAGCAACAAGCTAGATGTGGATTTAAGATATCAGATCAAAGTTACTTTGTATCCAACCGTGACCAATGAGGATCCCCCAGACCAACCTGAGGTTTTCTATTGGTTGCATAACCAGCCAATAATGTCCCGCTAGCAACAACTAGTTCTTTAAATAGTGACGTGCCTGTAAACAGGAAAAGGAACTGTCCTTACAGCCATCCGCTTAAAGCTCTCTTGTTCCACACAGTCCTCATAGCCCAGAGTTACAAACATAGAAAACAGAAGCAGAAATAGGCCATTCAGCCCTTCAGTCCCCTGTTTCCACTTTCTCCCAAACCCTTTGATCCCTTTAAGCCCTAAGAACCAAACCTGAAAATACAAAGTTTTGACCTCTGCGGCAGAGAATAGTCTAGACCATGTGTGTGTGCTTGAGATATCCCAGCTTTTCCTGCACTGGGGGTGGGGGAGGAGCACACTGTAAAATATGAAAAATAAACAATGGCCACCTGAAATGAGCTCCCCAGTAAAGCTTCAACCTTCCACAGAAAGGGCTCAATGGTAATATCCTGACCTCTGAGCTCACAGGCTCAGATTTTCAGATTTAAGCTCCTCCTTCCAGAGGTGTATAATAGGATCTCTGAACAGGTTGTTTGGAAAATATCTCAAGCCCTTCAGCACAGGTCAAGGAGAGAAACTGGTAAAAGAGAGAAATATCACCCAACAGCCCCTTACAGTCAGAACCAAGGATACTTATAACTGGGAACATAGAAATAGCTGACCAAATAAACAGTCTTTGGTTCAGTGTTCACAAAGCAGGACACAAATAACCTACCAGAAATAGTGGTGAGCACAGGGTTTAAGTCATGGAAGGAAATCTATATTGGTAGAGAAATGGTATTGGGGAAATGGACGAGATTTAAGGCAGATAAATCCCTTGGGCCTGATAATCCACATCCCAGGATACTTAAGGAAGTGGCCATAGAAATAGTGGATTGCTTTGGTGGTCATCTTCCAAAATTCTCTAGACTCTGGACCAGTTCCTACAGATTGGACGGTAGCTAATGTAACCCTTCTATTTAAAATGGAGGTAGAAAGAAAACTGGGAATTACAGACAAATGAGTCCGACACTGGTAGTGGGGTAAATGCTAAGGTCCATTATAAATTATTTAATAGCTGAGCATTTGGAAAACAGCGACAGGATCAGACAGAGTTAGCATGAATTTATGAAATTGAGATCATGCTTGACAAATCTACTGGAATTTTCAGGGGATTAACTCAGTGTTGATGAGGGGGAGCAAGTGGATGTGGTTGATTTGGACATTCAGAAGGCTTTTGACAAAGTCCCACATGAGAGATTAATGGATAAAATTAAAGTGCATGAGACTAGGGATAGTCTATTGAAACAGACAGAAAACTGGTTGGCAGACAGGAATCAGAGTAGGAATAAACAAGTTTTTTTTCTGAATGGCAGGCAGTGACTAGCGGGGTTCCACACGGATTGGTACAAGGACCCCAGCTATTTACAATGTATGTTAATGATTTAGATGAGGAAACTAAATGTATCTCAAAACCTGCAGATGACACAAAGCTGGGTGGTAGAGTGAGCTGTGAGAAGGATTCAGAGATCTCCCCCCCCACCCCCAACTTCCCCATTCTTCTAAACTCCAACAGACTCAATATCTCCTCATACATCAGTCCTCCTAGCCCAGCAATCAATTTGGTAAATCTTCACTACAATCTCTCCAAAGCAAAAATATCTTTGAGATGTTACAGAGTGATTTGGACAGGCGGAGGGCAGTAGAGAAGGCAAACTGTATGTTGGCCTTCATTAGTGAGGATTCGAGTACAGGAAGAAGGATGTATTACTGCAATTATAAGAGCATTGGTAAGGCCACACCTGGAATATTGGATGCAGTTTTGGTTTCCTTACATGAGGAAAGATATCTTTGCTATGGAGGGAATGTAGCGAAGCTTTACCAAATTGATACCTGGGATGGAAGGACTGATGCATGAGGAGAGACTGAGTCGGTTAGGATTGCATCCACTGGAATTTACAAGAATGGGAAGGTGGGGGATCTCATAGAATCCCATAAACTTCTAACAGGTGAGATGCAGGAAGGATGTTCCCGATGACCAGGGAATCCAGAACTGGGGTCTCAGTCTAGGGATATGGGGTGGACCATTTAGAACTGAGATGAGGAGAAATTTCATCATCCAGAGAGTGGTGAGTCTGTGGAATTCTCTACTATGGAAAGCAGTAGAGGCCAAAAGATTGTACGATTTCAAGAAGTTGTAGGTAAAGGGATCAAATGATATGGGGGAAATGCGGGAATGGATTATCGATTTGGATGATCAGCTGTGATCACAATGAATGTCAGATTAGGCTCAAAGGGTTGAATGGCTTACGCCTGATCCTACTTTCTATGTTTCTATCTGAACAGGTTGATTAAAACAAAAACAAAATAAATACCTGAATCACCTCCCACAAACTCTCTTTAAAACATATCCTTTCAGTGGTTATCACATTACACTTTGTGGGGGCTTTCTGCGTGCAAATTTGCTCCATATTTCCTGCATTCCAAATGTGACTACACTTCAAAGGTGCTTCATTAGTTGTAAAGTATTTTGGAAAGTTGTCATTGTGAAAGGTGAAGTTAAAATTAAGTCTTCTTTACCATTATATAGTCATAGACTCACAAGAGTTATACAGCACAGAGAGACTCTTCAGTCCAACTTGTTTATGCCAACCAGAAACGATAAATAAATCTAGTCCCATTTGCCAGCATTTGGCCCATATCCCTTCAAACCCTTCCTATTCATATACCCATCCAGATGCATTTTAAATGTTGTAACTGTACCCACCTCCACCACTTCCTCTGGCAGCTCATTCCATACACACACAACCCTCTGCTGAAAAAGTTACCCCTCAGGTCCCTTCTAAATCTTTCCTCTCTCACCTTAAACCTATGCCCCTCTAGTTCTGGACTCCCCCACCCCAGGGAAAAGACCTTGGCTATTCACCCTATCCATGCCCCTCATGGTTTTACAAATCTCTACAAAGGTCATCCCCCAGCTTCTGACGCTCCAGGGAAAACAGTCCCAGCCTATTCAACCTCTCCCTATAGCTCAAAGCCTCCAACCCTGGCAACATCCTTTGTTTTTATGCTTTTTTAACCCTGAAAAAAGTACGTGGCTTCCTTTTAATTGACAATTATCTGAATTGCATTTGAAACCATAAGGCCATAATACATTGAAGAAAAAAAACAGGCCATTCGGCCCATCGACTCTCCTTCGCCATTCAATCAGATCACAGCTGATCTGATAATCCTCAACTCTACCTTCCTGCCTTTTCTCCATAACCCTGGATACCCTCACAGATTAAAAAGAAAATCTCTCTCACCCTTGAATATACTTAATGGCCCATCTTCAAAAGCCTTCTCTAGTGAAGAATTCCACAGATTCACTCCCCTCAGAGAAGAAATTACTCCTCATCTGCCTTAAATGTGTGACTCCCTACTCTGAGATAATGCCCTCTGGTCCTAGGCTCTCCCACAAGGGGATGTTCTTGTCTTCATTTAATCTGCTAAGTGCCCCAAGAATCCTGTATGTTTCAATAAGGTCACCTCTCAGTCCTTTATATTCCAATGAGTATAGGACCAAACTATTCAGCCTCCCTCACAGAATAATCTCTTTGTATCTGGTTGCCAATATTTCTCTCTCACAATCCAACAGAGACATTGACTTAGGAGGCGTGATTTCAGTGATCAAGTTGAATTTAGTATTTCTCCTGCTTTGGACCTATATTTGTTTTTTTTGAACAGCTGTTGCCAGGAAAAAGTAGGGGTGACACAATGGCTGTGTTTAGCACTGCCACCTCAGCACTGAG